TTAAAAGACGTTTTATAAACATAAAAATATTTGATTAAGTGCAATTATCAATATAAGCTGTACTTTATTTTTTATCGCTGTAGTTATACAATAAAATAAATGGTATTAATTTTAATGTATATTTGTTTGTTTTATAAAAATATTATAGTAATTATACAAAAGTGACAAATAAAATCAAAAATTTTAATGTCATTATAATTTATGATTAAATTTAAAAATTGAATTATCAATAAATATACATGAACACAATTGAATATTTGTTGTTTGTTAATTCAAATTGATATCTTGATAACTTCTTTAAACGAATAATTAAAAACTCTATTTTAATGAGTTGAAAAAATAATATATTATATTGTCAATAGAGTATCAAAAATAAATACAATAATTAATTATAAATATGTTTCTAATTTTATGAGCAAATGTTGTTATATTTCAATAACTGAACAGTGTGAAAACAAATTTGATTAATAATATAAAAAACAACCAAAATACAAAGTTTTTGTTTTGGTTGTAAATAAACAAAAACATAATACTTTTTAAATCAACTATTTTTTAATATTAATATTTGTATTTAATAATACCAACAACGTAAACAAATATCAAATTGTGGTTGTAGTTTAACATTTACTCGACAAATATTTAACAAAATGAAATAAAATATTTAGCATTGGTTACTGTTTTTTATTATCTTTTCATTTTTTTACTGAATAAATATAATTGTCAGGCTGATTTTTGTAAATTATTTTTAATTATAATTGATTTTAAAAGTTGTATTGGATAATGTGAATATTATATGTATTTAACACGATGAAGAAGTGGACTATTTTATTTTATTTAAAATACGATTGATTTGTTTTTTACCACTTGGCCAAAACAAAAAAATGAATTGATTGTTATTGTTCTTTTTTATTTTTTGATAACACGTAGTGTTTAGTAGTTTTTTGTTGATACGTGTGTTTTCCAATAAACATCAATTTTAAATTAATATTAAATTATTAACCAAATAACAAATTTACTATTCAAATGTTGTGGTTTTTTGAAAAAATAAAAAATAAGCTAATTTCCCGATTTTTTATTTTTCTAAAAAACAAAATAAACAAAAAAATATTTAGTAATTTACAAATTATGGCAGCTCTAAGTGAGTCAAAATCGAAGTAGTGAGTCATTTTTTGACAAGTGAATTATAAAATAGAAAATTGAGTTAACAGCCATGACTGTATTAATAAATCTTTTCAATAAAACAAGCATTTTTAATATAATCAACTCAGGGATTGTAAAATAGTAATATTATTGAGTTATTATTATAATTTTAAAACTAATTTATCGTTTTAACGTACTTTTATTATTTTTAACCATTTCTTTAACAATTTTTTAAAAAAGAAATTTGAAAAACACTCAACTTTAAACAGTCAAATAAATTATGCCACTTGAGCAAGTCTTTCTCAAGAATGTAGTTTTGTACTTTAACACTTTAACTGATGTCATGAATTTTCTGTTTCTCAACAAAAAGTGTTTAGAAACGGTCACTTCACTTTATGTGAACTCTTATGCGCTAACAAGACATCACAACTTCCCTCAAATTTATTTATTCTTTCCACAGATGCAAACATTTTATGTGGAAACGACACTTCAGTACATCAAAGCCAAAGACGCGCGGTGTATGCCACTTATAGAAATCAATCACTGGACAGACAAATACCTTTACCGTGACAGGAAGGACAATGTCTTCACCACGCAGTGGTTTCCTCCTAAAATTCGAAAGCTTTGTGTCTACCCACAACAAGTCATAAAAATGTTTACAAGCATCGACTTTTACACGCAACTCCAAGTCATTTCAATTGTAAAAATTTTTGAAAATATTAGATTAAAAAACACCCGTTTTTTAGACTCTTTAATTCCTCTTTTTAAACTTCCTTCACTTAAAAAAGTGTATATGGAGATCTCACCACTTTGCTATGAAATGATCAACACTTTGAACTCCCAAAAAGCGTTTTCCAGTGGTGTCGAATTCACAATCTTCTTCTGCATGTGGTGGGATATGTTTTATATTAAAAGTTTAGACGAAAGTTATGACAAAATTCAGAATTTAAAATTTAACTCAAATGTCTCGATATACACTAATCGCATTGGAGACGGTCACATCTTGACGCATCGTGGAATGTATGTGTCCAGTAGTGTTACTAATAACAAGGAGGTGTTATTTGATATGATCACTGGCATCATTCACTTGGGAGATTTACACGAACTCAATTTGATTTTTAATAATATTGACAACTTTGACTGTGAGAAATATGAAAATGTTGAAAAGATTGCATTGAATGGATGTTTAAGCTCTCTAAAACTCTCAAAAAGAATCAAAAGTGTTACTCTGAAAATCATTTTATTTAAAGAAGAAAATATAAACATAGAAATGAACAACGCAGTGCTTGAGGAATTTTCAGTAGACGGACAACCTAATCAAAAAATCGAAGGAGTCGTTTTATATGAAAATGCACTCAAAAAGTTGGTCTTAAAAAACGCGAATTGTTCTATTAAAATGCTTGGAAATGATAAAAAACAATTGGAAAACATCGACCTCTGTAAACTGAATGAATTTGAATTGTTTAATTATAGACAATATGGTATCATATTAAATGATTATAAAGGACCATTACCATTTTATGCTCTTTCATTGATTAATGGTAAGTTGAACGTCAGTAACCCTATGACAAGACTAGAAAACCTTAACTTCTCTGCATTCATTTTTGACGAGTGTTATATAAACAATAACTACAATAACACTATCGAACTGGGGGATAATAAATTGAGGATTATGTCTGTGAGATATTCAAGATCAATAACAGTTAATGCAGGACCAACGACATTGTTCGAACTTGATAATTCAGATGGGACTTTTAATTTTGTTGCATTGAAAAGGAAAAATGTGACAAAGAACAACAAAAAGCACAAAGTTGTTATTAAAATCGATGAAAAGAAATATGACGATTTTTTAAGTGAAAGTGAATAATTTTAATTCGAATGTTTATATAATAATAGTAATATAATAATATCATTATAATATATAATATTATAAAATCAATATATATATAATCAAACCTCTATTGAATACAGTAAAAAGTGTTTATTTGTGGGTTTATCATGGAATTGTGTAGTAAATTCTTTTCACCATTTTTTCTATAAAAAAACAGTGTTGTAGAAAATATTGTAGTTTTTTTAATTATAATAAAACTATATAATTTATCTAAGTGTTCCTAAATTCAAAATTCTAGATCAAAATAATTATTTGTGGGTTTTGCATTTGATTGGTCCATTGACCTACAAATAGACGTAACCCACAAATATAAAACCCACAAATAGACACTTTTTACTGTAGTAACTCCATCGAGTGGTATCTTTATCGAATTGGATTTTTAGCCAATTAAAATTGATTACCGCTCGATAAAGAATTTTTTTATTGTATTTTTATTTTAAAATACAGTGGCAATATTTAAGTACTTAATTTGGAATAAACTCACTTAAGTGAGTAAATTTTGGTTTTATTTTTGGAAATAACAAAAAAAATTTTAAAAAAACTGAAATTATGTTATAAGACAAAAACATTTTAATAATAACAAATTATTTTTTATTAAAAATAACATTTTAATAACAAAAAAAACAAAAAACAAAAAACAAAAAACAAAAAAGAAAAAATAATTAATTTAAATTTATTTCATGACATAAGCAAAACTTGGGCTAGTGTATATGTTGACTTGTTCTGGTAAAGACTTTATGATATTTTAAGTCCTTTTCAAGTTTAAACACTGTTTTCAACGCTTCAAGTGGAAAACTTGTCGAATCCAGAATTCATTTGGTATTTGACCAAAAAGTGTACAATTTTTACATTTTTGTGTAAAAAACCACTTTTTACGATTTACACAAAATGTAACTCATTTTTGGTCCAAATGTTTCTTAAAACAATTTTCAACAAAAGCTCAAAAGTTTAATTTAAAAATACCGACTTTGAAGTTTATTAAATTAAAAAATAATGAATTCAATCTCAATCCAAAAAACTCAATTCTTTGTATTATCCCGTTTTTTCACCAATTGTTCATTAAGTGTTATTTATTTGTTATTGTTATTGTTTGAATTCTTATCTTTTTCGATTCATTTGTTTGTGTTTTTTATCTTTCTCTCATCTTCTTTTTAATCTTAACAACAACTGTTATGAAATATTTTTAAATGTTATTTGTTCATAAAACAATCATTGAACTAATGTACACAAAAAAGACCACAAATTCAAACCGGCTTTTATTTTCAAGCTTGTCCATTGTGCTTGTTAATGTTCTTTTTTCACTTTTTGAACCTTTTTTGAGCTTCTTTTCGTCAAAAGAAAATAATTTTCGAAACTAATTTTGTAAAAAACAAAAGCTATATTTTAAGTTTATTTTAATTAAAATAAAAAACTATTTCAAATATTTTTTTCTTCTCGAGCAAAATCGACTTTTTTCTCAAAAAACAAAGAAAAGACCCAATCAAACCCATTTTCCTATTTATAAAGGGTGGTACTTAAGTTTTTTCTATTTTGGCTTAAAGTTCAACCAAAGTTTCACAAAATTTACTCACTTAAGTGGGTTTATTCCACTACTGTAATAATATATTTTATTTTTTTGTTCTAATTCCGAGTGTTCAGTCTTAAAATTTAATGTTAAAAAAAACAACAGAAAAACAACATTAACAACTTTCGATTTTATTATTTAATATTAAAATTTGAACGTGTAATAAATATTTTTAAAAATATTTTATAACACGTTTAAAATTAATAATAAAATATATTCATTATCAGAAGTATAAGTCGGTTAAAGGTTAAATATTACAATAATTGAATATACAAACTATATTATTATTAATTAATAGATAATAAATTTATAATAAATTATTTTTACTTGAAATTATCATTTAATTATATAACAATAATTCTTTATAATGTTTAGATATTTGATTTAAATAATTCCAACAAAAAAAACAACTGTTAAAATCATAATGTCCACAATTGACGGTTATCATATCATGATAGTTTCAAAGTACTTTGCAACAATCAACGATTTCATTAATTTGGAATTTGTATGCAAAAAATTTAACAGTAATATGGAGAAATTTCATTTCAACCCGATTCCATTAACTTGCAAAACAATTGGATTTTTCTTGAACATTGAAACTCTTCATTTATGGCATAAAAACGATGAAACTTTTGGTAATCTATTTTTTGTCAAAACAGCGTTCGATGAAGACGATGGTAACAATGAAAAACATGGAGATATAAACAAAAACAAAGAAACTGTTGTGACAAAAGTGTTTTATGAAATCATTGTGTGGTTCAATGTTAATTATGACACCGTTGTCAAAAACGATGGTCAAAACATTAAGTTCAAAGATATTGCTTACACCCAAACCGATCGAATGAAATTTGGTGATAACATACCAAATTGTGTCACATTTATTAGTCATAGCTGTTTCCGTGAATGTAGTTTGAGCAGCATAACAATACCATCAAGTGTCACATTATTTGGTCAGAGATGTTTCCAACGATGTAGAAACTTGGAAAGTATTGATATACCATCAAATGTGAATTATATTGCTCAGCTTTGTTTTTGTGGATGTGATAGTCTCAGTAGTGTGACAATACCATTAAGTATAACATCATTAAATCAGTGTTGTTTCTCCAAATGCAGTAGTCTAAGCAGTGTGACTATACCAACAAACGTGAATACTATTCATAATAATTGTTTCTATGAATGTAACAATTTAAGCAACATTATAATACCATCTAGTGTCACATTTATTGGTAATTATTGTTTCCATCAATGCGCCAGTCTGAGAAGTGTTATAATACCACCATCTGTAACATTTATTAGTGAAAAGTGTTTTGATGAATGTATTAATTTGAGCAACATAGAAATACCATCAAGTGTCACTTCAATAGGCGAAGGTTGTTTCTATGGATGTAGCAATCTGAGCAATATAGAAATACCAGAAAGTGTCACTTCAATAGGTAAAGGTTGTTTTTGTGAATGTGAAAATTTAAAAAGTGTTTATGTTCCATTAAGTGTCACATTTATAAGTGCTTATTGTTTTCCCCAAAAAACAGTTGTTCGTCGAAGATGCGACAATACCAACAAATGCTGCATTAATTAATTTTGTTTTGTAACAAAAACAGTTGTTCATGGCGACTTATTCAAATAATCGAGTCTTTTTTCATTTTTTATAACAAAAAAATGATAAAATAAAATGTATTTCTTTATATTCATTTATATATAATAACAAAATGGGTATATTTATTTATTTATAATTTATATTTTTTATAAGTTTAATACAATTAAGTGTGTATTATATTAATGATAAATTTTACTTATTATAACAGTAAATTGTGATACTGTTTAAAACAATATTTAACAATTAAACTAATTAATGTTTAATAAAAGTTTAGATGATATGTAAAGAGAAATTTTTAAATAATATACACATAATAATAATATAAGTTTATTTTTATTGACTAAATTAATTACTAGCATTTGAATGAACAAACAAATAGTTGTTCAAAAAACATCTTTTTAATGAAAAATTTCAAATCACTGATGAATAAGTTAATAACTAGTTGTTAATAAAAGCAAACTTTTTTAAGAAGTGGCCATTTGTTTATTATTAAACAAAAAAACGTATATTTGTTGGTTTAAAATGGATACGTGTTGTAATTTATTCACGTTTTAATTTATAATTTTATTAAATCAATTTTTGCATATAAAACTTTATATAAAAAACTTATATCATTAAAAACAAAATTCTTTTATAAATAAATTACAAGACAATCAAACTAATGTTTTGAGTGAATTGATAGTGTCATTAATAATACATTGTTCTTGAGGTCCTTGTTTCCAACACTTTTCAATGACATTTTTATATTTTATGTCGAGTGTTTTTTATAGTACTTGGTCTCTTTCCAGAAGCTACGTCATTTGCAATAGTCCACGGGTGCATGTATATATTTTTGGGATATGCATTTTCCCATAAGAAGCACTCGAGAATTGTTATAGCGAATGAATAAACATCTGCGGCTTTCTTGTAATGTTGTTTATTTAACACTTCGGGTGCCATATATATATTGGAATCCCAATACCATTAGTGAATGTCATGTTGGTCATCATCATATTAACATTTCTTGCACTTTCAAAATCGGTCAGTTTTGCGTTGACTTTATCATTTGGATTTTTAGAAAACACAAGTAAATTGTCTAATTTAATATCTCTGTGTAAAATCCCGTTTTCATGTAAATATGAAATACCATTTGCGCCATCCAACATCATTTTAACACGATGTTTTATGTTAATTTCATCACTTGTTTTATGTTTCATCAAGTCTTGTAAACTCCCAAATTGTGCAAATTCGGTGACCAAACACACCTTATTGGGTATAAAAACTGCTCCATAAAAGTGGACAATATATTCACTTCTAAATTTGTCTAACATCTCAACTTCCTTCTCAAACGCATTGTTTAATGTGTCTTCATTTCCACTAATTTTCATCTTCTTAATTGCAACGATATTGTCTCTGAAAGTTCCTTTAAACACAACACCGAACGAGCCTTCACCAAGTATAGTGTCTTCTTGTAACTCGTTTGGATCAAGTCGCGTTGTCAATTTTGAAGTTGCTGCTATTTTAATTTCTTTTAAAGCGTCTTTTCTTTTTGTAAATGAATTTGAGACCAATATGATATTTTCATTGAATTTGGTTGTGCATTTTAATGTCAACAGAATTTCAAATTCACACGCTTCACCACTTGGTAATACTATTATTTTTGGATTTGAGTCGAATTCATATTTCTCAATTGTTGCACTTTTTGTCGTGATTTGAATTTTCATGTTGTGCTTTGAAGTGTTGCCAACACACAGAAGTTCTCTTTGTTGTGAGTTGACATCAATTTCCTCGCCAAAAGAAACTTCCGTTTTGTTCACAATGACATCATCACCAATTGGTATAAAAGTAATGTTCGAACAACTCATTTTGAAGAGTGTTGTTGTTTGTTCAATTTCTTTTTGTTGCATTTTGTTTTCAATAAACAACACAACACACGATATTAATGTTATTACAATTGTTAAGACAAAAAGTGCAAACAAAATGACTATAAAAAGTACTCACCAAACTACCTTCTTGTTACAAAGTGTGCCATTTTTGTTAGGAGAGTGCCAGAATGTGCATTTGGAACATTTTGAGTTTAAAACTTGGAGACATTTTGATACAAATGAAATATCAATACAAAGTCCACTTTCATATAAAATCATGTTGTTAACACAAGATGTGCATTTCCAGTATTGTGTGCATGTTGTGCAGTTGTTGTTACACCTTTCACACTCGTTGTAATAAATTGTGTAATACCCATCTTTACATTTGTTACACCCATTTTGTGTGATTTCAACAACACACTCAATGATACTGTTTTATGGCAAACAGTCACCGCTATTTGTTTTGTAATTCGTCAAATTGCATGCCAAACATTTATTTTTTTGTGTTACACGTTGAGCAATTTGAAAGACACTTTAAGCAATTACAGTCCATACCAACTCTGTAATACTGGTCTTTGCATTGATAACACCCACTTGTAATTGTTGATACCTTTTCACATTTATTTAACAGTTCAGTGCTTGGTTGGCATTGATAAATATCACTTTGGTCAAATCCAGACTTACATGATAGACACTTTGTACCACTTTCATGGCAACTGGTGCAATTTTCAGAACACAAATAACAACGGGCATTTGACAGGTAATACCCAACTGCACACGAAATGCACCCATATTTATAATATGTTACACAACCAGTTGTTGAAGTATCGTTTGTAATACTCACACAAATTTTGTTAATATTAAGTATGTATTTATTTTCACATTCAACACATTTATTGTTCACAATATACACGCATTTGTCTTTTTCTAAAATAAACATCCCATTCTGTTCAGTAAACGTTTCATTCTGACAAATAGAATATTCACACTTTTTCTCATAAGTTATTGTATAATTCACTTCACATGAAATTGTATTGCTTTTATCGCAATTCAAGGAATTTTCAAATTTGGATAAACACGTGTTGCAAACACCATTGTCTATGTAAAACATATCATTGCAACCAATTATCAAAACTTTATTTGAAACCACATCTGTCTTTTTAACACATAAAGTTTCATTGTTTAAAATAAAGTTATTGTTACATATAAAACACAAATTATAACCACATAAAGTACAGTTTGATGCACAGCTCTCACATTTGTTATATGAATTACCCGCATGACATTTTATACAAACACTTCCATCACTGTGTTGACATTTGGTATCAAACACACATTCGTTATTATTTTTAATATATCCGTTTTGACATTTGTAACAATTTGTTATTGTGCCATATAAACACGTTTCAGAAGAAATACACCTGGAATTATCGTTTAAAACATGCCCACTTTTGCATAATACACATTTGTTGTTTTTGTTGTATGTCTCACAGTTTAAAACAAGAAGAAAACACTCTCCATTGTCATTTAAAAAATCAGAGTGACAAACAACACATGTTATTTTATTCTTAGTCACTTTAACAAGAAAGCAATTGCTAATTACATTATTATCACTAACTTTTTCTAATAATATAAAAGTCTTCCCATTTTCACTAAAATCAATTGAATAAATTCGACTTAAAGTCGTGTTTTTAGAAATTACAATGTTTGTGCTTTCATACAAAACAAGTGATTTGATGTTTCCAATACGATCAATTTGCAATTTTGTGCTATTTTTATATAAATTGAAGTTGTAAGTTGAATCATAATTACAAGTTATTGTGTTCAATGAAGTTGAATACAAAAATGAAGCATCTATAATATCAAACTCGTCGACTACACTGGTTGTAACTTTTCCAAAAGTAAATGAAATTACCAAGTCTTTATAATATGATAATAATACCAATTTTTTATTATCAAAAAGAGTGATTTGTTTTACACTTTCAGAGAAATAAAGTGAAATGTTATTATCAACCAACAATTCAGTGTTATTTAGATTGTTATCGAACATATTAAACATTTTAATATCACTAATAAACTTGAGTTTGCAATTTACATTAATATCTTCATTACACGGACAATGTGGATAATCAAAAGCATCTTCCATATTTGTTGGTGATTTTGGTGTGTACATTAGTTTCTTTAAAGTACAAACAACGTCTTTGTCAAGTGGAGTACCTTGTGGGCAAAATCGTATTAATTTTTTATTAGAAATCAAGTACCCTTTCCCATTTGTAAAATTATACAAATATTCAAACATATCTGAAATGATGTGATCGAAATTGGCAACAGTCCCTAAATTAGATGCACTATTCAACGAAATTGTATCAAAACATTTGGTGTTTCCTGTTGGATTGACAATTTCAAAATTTGGTCTATTTTCCACGTTATAATTGAGATGAAGATATGTCGAATTCCACATGACAATTTGTGGGAAGTTCAATTTTGGATTATTTAATAGAAGGTCTCCAGCTATAGACAAACCAGCATAATTAATATTAAAAATCACATTTATTGTTGCATTTGGTTCAATAACAAATGTCTTGTTGATATGCAAATTTGTCATCAATAATATATTAACATTTATGTTTATCGTCAGACTTTGTGTGAAATACCAAATTGATTGACTTGTAGAAGACAATTTCATGTTATTTAAAAGAATCATTTTATTTAATAATGTAAGTTTATTGCTTAATTCAAAGTCTCAATTAAAACATATTGAAGATGTTTTGATATTACAATCTGAAGGTGTTAGACCCATGGTGTCATTGATTCCAGATGGGTAACAGTCGCATTGATATTCACTTGTTGTCAAAACAATAAAAAGAGAGAAGATAAATTGCATTTAAAACACCAATTTGTTATTAGATTGTGTTTTGAGGGTTAAAATATTAATATTTTTAGTTTATTATAAATGTATTTAAACTAATAAAATATGATAAAATTATTATTTTATAAATAAATTAATAACCAAAATCTTTTTTATTAATGTAACTTATGTACAAAGTTATATAAAAGTTACAATATATCATTAAAACATTTTTTTGTTTTTGTGCATGGGTCGGCACAATCCTAATTTTCAAAATTAACAAGAAAAAAACAAAATTTGTGGCAATTTAATTGAAAAAATACCATTATTTTTATGAAAAAAACAATTTTGTTGATAATTGAGCAAAAAATCGGGTTATGAAAATATTGATAAATAAATAAAAGACTTTCTATTTTAAAAAAAACAATGTGTTTTTTAAAGGCTAAACAAAATACAAAATGTTTATATTTTAATTGTGTTTTATACTTGTTTTCGTTTTTTGGTCACGAGTAAATTGCTTAAAAAAACAATATGGGTGCAAACTCAAATTATAGTAAACATAATCTATACAAAGTTAATCAAACAAATAATAACAATAAATAATAAAATACAATTAAGATACTATAATTGAAAACAACTATAACATATTATTTATTTTATTATCAGACACAACAAGTTTTTTACTTGAATATTAAAAATTGAAATATTATCATTTTTT